GAGATAATTTCTGATGAACAAATGTTAAAGAGCCATATGAATGAAATTGCAGTTGAATGACTTGCATAGATAATAAATGTATTCAAACTGCAATTGGGTATTACACGGAGGCAGCTAATGATATACACATAATATATCTAACATGCAATCTATGCAATAATAATAATAATAAGTATATAGAAACTGACTGATTCATATAACATTAAATTACCTTAAGGAAATTTTTTTTCTATAATATAAGTCTGCACTGAATGTTACACTGAACTGGCACATCAATTCACTTCACTTCACTATGACCCTTTAATCACTTCCTTCATTATTTCTCTGCTCTACACTGCATGATACCTCGCTTCACAATATATGACTTATGGTTCGCTCTATAACCTACTATTCTTAGTTAAGTCCCTCATTTACTTAGTAATACCCTAAATTAATTTCATAAGCTATTGAATGCTTCGAGAAAGACTTCAAAGGTTTTTGCAGGCAATCTATTCCATTCGTTTATCGTGAGATTTGTGAAAGAAAATGTCTCAGTATCTGTTCTCTCTGGTCTTTAACTTATTTTGTGCCTGTGATTCCCCTACTGATAAAATGAATGTTACCTTATAAAAACAAATTGCTCGGAGTCCAATGGTCTTGGATTATTCACATCTGAAGTAGTTAAGATATTCTGAATGGGTAGGAAATATTATCTATTATTATAGTCAGTGCAGTAGCAATGATATTTCGTACCAAATAAATTTTCAAGAGACGTAGTTCTTTTGAAAACAATTTCTACACTTCGGCAAATGTGATAAATAAACAAGTTATAAACATTATTTTCTGTTATAAAAGAAACAAGATCATTTTAAAATGAAAAAAAGAGGTAGAATATTTGTTTCTTTTCTCGATAATACATTATAGTTCCAATGTTGGTTTGACATTATGTAATGAATCTCAGATATCTTGTCTGCCATCCACAACTAATAGCAAACGTGGAATCCTTTAAAACCGAAAAAGCGGGAATTTGCAAAGACCGAAAAGAAACGAAAACTTTTAGCACGGCTACGACTACGATTCAATTCACCATCATATTGAATTGCGTGCAATGTTTCACCCCCCATTAAAATTATTCGTACATTTACTGAGTGAATGCTCAAGAAAAAAAGTACAGATTATACTTCTCCCTCATACATCGCATAAATTGTCTCCCATTTTTTGATGATAAATAAATCAAATCAATTGATAATGACTAGTGTTAGAATCAAAGAATGTAAGAAAAATGCCACATGTATGCTTGAAGAATGTAATGTTTTTGCATCTCTTTCACTCAGTTCACACGACTTCAAAGACTTTTGCGTCGGTACAACGTGAGTAGTATGACAGGAACGCTCCTACAATATATCACAATAGTTAGTACTATACAATTGAGATAGCCGATCCGGTGGCCGAGATCGCTAAGGCAGTAGTGCCATAGCGGTCGTACCGGAAAATTGCGGGTTCGAGTCCCACCTCGGGCATGATTGTATTGTGTTCGTCCTTTCACCCCCTATCATCCATCATCCTCCATCTCTCATTAACCTTTCTTGAATAACATTCAGAATTGTAACTCGAGGATTTATCCTCACCTCAAGGTGAAAACCTTCGATAGTCGACCATGAACAGTAAAGTGAAGTGGAACCGACTCAGTGGTCCGATTGGCAATCAAGATAATAATAATAATAATAATACAATTGAGATATTCGAGGAACAAGGATCTCACCAGGAATTGAGTTTTGGTCTCGGTCGCACCTCTTCTTTGATGACTATATCAGTTCACTGTTTTGCTGAGCGAAATGGTCGGGACGTTATCACCCCAGTGATACGCAGAGTGAATGTCACCTTATTTCTTCGAAGAGCACAGCGGAAGATATATTTGCCTATTCTCGTGTGACAGTGTCCAAACTGCCAGAGCGCACGAAGAAAATGCGCGTGCAGAGTAAAATGCGTCGTGACCGAGTTGCGCGCCCGGAAATTCGCCCTACATTCAGTCCACCATTTTGAAGATAATGACACTAACTTCGAAAACACTGGTGATATCATTTAGTCTGCGAAGAGCACCAGAGTAACATTCGGTGTATGAACCGTGTGCAGTTGAGATCTTTGTCAATCTGTATCGTTGCCTTTATCTGGGGATGTTGGTTCGAATTGGCGCGGAGCACGATGCAAGTGCACATGCGGAGTCATGCCCTGAAGTGGTGTTTTTCAGATTTTTTGTCTTTCTTTGATTGAAGGATTTGTCATAAATAGTATGTATGTAAATAAAATTGTTTGTTAATTCAACTCGATTTAACGGCGATTCCAACGACCGGTTATTAATGGTATCTTGTATTATAACACAATGAGAATAAATAATTAAGATTTACAAAGAATATTGCACTTTTTGAGCAAACAATTTTTATCTTATGAGCATTTAGTAATAACAGAGGAATATAAAAATACAGTAAGAGGATAACAATAACTAATATATACACTCAGAATATATTTATTTAGTCAAAGCGCTGTAAAAAAATTTGTGTGTGGTGTATGGAGCAGAAGTACCATTTGCGAACGTTTTCTTGAGAATTCCAGAATCCATTCCTAATATTTTAACTAAAAGTAATTGAAAGATGAATAAAAGTTTTAAAAGTCAAATAATATATATAAAAATAAGTAATAATAAAACATAAATAATAAAGCACGAGATTAGCAACATTTGAAAAAATAGACATTTTCGTTTCTGAGCTATAGAAAACATGGTAAACAAATTGCAGATTTGATTGTTTTGCATTGCTCACCCCTAGCTCTTCTTTTACCACTAGAGGCAGAAGGAGAGATTAAGAAAACGTGTGGATAGTGAAACCACATTTATGTCCAGAAGCAAAACAAGAGACCATACAAGGATGTGCTGCTTTGGCTCAGGGAAATTAATTGACTCAAGTTAAATATTCTTGGCCAGAGTTAGTTTTATTTATTTTTGCCTGATCAATTACCGTCTTTAAAATTGTATTGTATTTTCGGAAGCCTGGGAACAAATTATGATGTTTATACATAAAGTAAAGTGTACATTTTTTTACACGATGTTTTAATTTCTTATGTGATCCAAGAATTACTCTTCCTTGAAATGTTTAATATTCTTTTTTAAGAGGAAAGTGCGCGTTTAAGTGAAATAAAAACGTTGAAAAATAACTTAAATTTTTCATTTGTGTCTACAGCGTTATAAACTGCATTCCACGATTCTTGCAGTAACTGGTTCATAAATATTTGTTTTGTATTCCAGCTTATAAACGGTCTCTTCTGTTGCAAGAAAAAGGACGTAATTAACCATTTTACCGCACAAATGATGACGTATTAGATTCTTCGGCGCGAATGATTGCGCCATCATTTTAGCCAATCGCAGCGAGAGAATCGTGAGGAAATAGAGGTAAACGGAAAAGCCGACCACCGTTTTCTTGCACAATGTCAAGCACTCGAGGCGTCACTGGAAAGTTGTTTCGCAAAATTAAGTTCGATTATTTTATAAATTTATAATGCTGCTATACAAAAAAATAGCGTTTGCAACTCGTTTAAAATGTTGATTTATTGAATTCGTTCAAATTTGAAAACTCGCTCCTAAAGTCACTCGTTTTCAAAACATATACTCTTTTTATTTATTTATTTACGTAAAAAACAGTTGAAAACTGTATGTGATGTGCTATGAGAAGAAGTAATTTGAAGTTACTTTTATACAACTTGCAATAAAGCTTAACATTATGAACTAATTGCATAAACTACTATTATGTTAGCTTTAGTAAATGCTCTGCACATTCGTGTATTATTTTTTGTGTCAGTGATTATGTTATTAGTAATTATAAGCATTTGAGTATTGTGGTCGCTGTAAACTAGATAGTTCGTTTCTCTACTTTTTCACGATTTTACATTCTCTTATCTACTTTGTAGAAAGAAAAGTTACGCAATGTTAACGAAAAAGCACCAGATTTTGTACAGGAAAACTGGTTTTCTGGGTCCCAGATACAGAAAAACTGGATGTTTCTTTGTTAATTACATTCCTGAGTAAGTAGCTTACTGAGAATCCACATTTTATGAGTCCTTCATTCTGAAAAAATATTTTCCCCCAGGAGGCCGCTGGATCGTCCAGTCCCTCTGATTTGCAAGTATCCTGTGCTTGTGTATAAATATCATGGCCCAAGTTTAGGGAACGATTTGCACTCGTGGGGGGGGGGATGTCACATGAGTAGCATCGTTATATATTTCTCATCACATGTTCATTAAATAAAGTTAACTTCGACTCCCTAGAAAGTTGTAAGATTTATTCTGAAACATCCTGCATTCGTATGAGGGTTACGAGTTTTACCAAAGGCTGCAACGAGTCCTACTCAAGATATGAGAGTTTTCATCATGTGTTTGCGGCGTGCTAGCCTTCTCATTTCCTTCGCGGATCCCATCTTAATATCCCAATCATGATCCGCCATTATCGTTATTTACCCCGTATGATCACCGTAACATTCTTCATATTGTGGAAGGCGAAGAGAAATAACATCCATAAATACTCTCCTGCCCAGAAAAGGGTTCAACGAAGGCATGAGTCTCCGCCTTCCCAGAAATGAACTTTTACCATGTGCGTTTACCATGTGGATAATGATATTAATTTTTTACGACTGAAATGACCGTACTAATTGTAAAAAAGTAGAGGCATAAAAAAGCGTAATTGTGTATTGTTAAAAACTGTTTCTATATTTCAGATGCTATCATTTATTATTTTCGCCTCTTATTTTTTTATTTTTTGTTCGTTTATTTTTCATTTGTTCGTGTGTTTATTTCAAAAAACAGAAGAAAGTATCTAGCTATTAAGAATACTTAGAAACTAGAGGGACCTAAGTAATGAGCGAGAGATATAGAACAGAAGGATTAAGGATAAGGATATGAACCCCATATTGCCAATGGGAAAAGAGAGAGGAGAACGAGAAGATGTCGAAAAAATATTTGAATATTCAATAATTCAACTCGTTGAATTATGCCACATGTGTTGCATATAAAGAATAATTTATTTTACTATCACATTAATGAGTTATGTGGTTAGTAACATTTGTTGTGATTCATTTAATACTTTGTATGGGTATTATATGTAACCATTTAGTATCAGTCAAATTTATTTATATTGTATTAAACCGTGTGATTTATTATACTGATTATTACTTTAATAAATCATTGACAATTTTTGATGTCTCAGGATGAGCCAAGATGGTGTAGTGTTCAACGTCGGGTATGGTATATACAGGAACAGGTTCCAGGCACATCTGTAAAAGAAGAAGGAAATACAATAAATAATCGAATAACACTTGCTCAAGAAATATAAATTGCAAGGGGGGGGGATTTCAAAGCACAAGCCAAGGTGCTATGCAAGGGTATCTACTAACATGCATTTTAACCATCTATTAACGGTAAACAAATATTTTGGATAAAAAACTGCCAGACATGAATCTGCAATACAAGTTTTTTCTATTATTATTATTATTATTATTATTATTTTTTAAGGTCGCATCAACTACTAGGTCATTAGCGACCACTATTGCTTGTAACCGCTCGTAACTGTGGGTTGACATGATAATGATGATGATAGGGGGTGAAAGGACGAAACACAATACAGCCATGCCCGAGGCGGGACTCGAACCCGCGATCCTTCGGTCCTAGTTCGCTACGGCACTACTGCCTTAGCGATCTTGGCCACCGGATCGGCAGTTTTTTCTAGGATACTACTCCGGCATTCTTTTGATACCGGTTAAAGAAGCCATGGCCGTAGCAGAACGCTCGAATTCTCCTTGTCAGTGGTTGAATTCGACCCAGATACGTAGCTAGTGTTGGCAATTTCCCATCTCCTGGACTCGATCCCTAGGATCTTCCGATCAACGATTTAATATCCTCACTGAGATACCTAGCTAGTGTTGGCAATTTCCCATCTCTTGGACTCGATCCCTAGGATCTTCCGATCAACGATTTAATATCCTCACTGACTTATCGCAGCCGGTAAAAGCAGAGTCGAAATAGCAGATGCGAAATACTGTCACATTTTCATATCGGTACAAGTGTCCTGAACGCGTAATTTAATTAATTGTTGCATACAAATCCGATTTTCTTACTCAGAGAACACTAATGGAGGCGGTCAATGTCTGACCCCCCAAATAAATAACAACATAATTGAAGGAAATTGTATATATTAAAGAACTACTTCTATATGTATTTAACAATTTATTAGTCATTTTCTGCAAATTTGTGTTAATTTTCAGTTTTTAAGCGATGGTAAGGGCATACATACGAGTATTTTGATCATTTTATGTATTTTCAGTAGTTTTTGTGAGGATACTGATTCTCACGCAGACAACAATGTTTTACAGAATTAACTCAACATTCACCATGTTGCTCCGACTGCCCTACTGTACTCTACGTCGACTGATAGTAAAATAGAAATTACTGTGTTTATGGGCTAACCTGGCCGTAAGTAAGCGCCGTACTTTCCGCAAAGTCATTATACATGGCAACGGTTTTAATTGCTTTGTAAACGTCGTTCATCGGTGGAAAGATGAAACTATCGCTCCGAGTTAAGAAAGTTTCCAATAATAAAATCTCTTGGTGATAAAACCAATTCCGTACCTAACGAAAGATTCTACGAAACCAAACCCAAACTAAGATACTACCACACGTAAACAAAGAAAGTACGTGTGGTCTGACGTTGGCTCCCAACCCCCATTGCTTTTCGAATGTGTGACTTGATTAGTGTTTTTCGGGCTTAACAACTGCTGAGATCATTAGTTCTATGAGTTTAGTGCATGTTTTGTCACAGGAACTGGCTGTGATATTTCCTAGCTGGGTGGCGAGATTCGGCTCCTACCTACACGTCAGCTTGTTTTTTTCATCTAGGGATCCCCCAGCCAGGACAAGCTCTAAACGCTTGACTGGTCTCCCCAACACATGTGTAGTGTAGTGCGTGTTATTAAGGAGTGAGGAAAGGACAAAGAAGAGGAAGGAAAGATCGCGCGCGGTCCGTTGCCCGTTTGATAGGGTAGTGCCCCCGCATTCGCCTGGTGTTGATCGGAGAAACCATGCAAAACTAGCGATCAGAGCAGTCGCCCGGTAGCATTCTCCTTCCGTCAGCGAGTCTTCGGGGCCGGTTTCCCACCTGACTGAGGCCGTAGTCCGGCTCGATGAGGTCCCGGCCCTTGAAGTCCACGTCCTTGGGGCGGACGAGAGTGACTCTGCTGCGCAGCGCGCGACCGTGCGTCCAGGAGCTGAAGTAAAGAGCGTTGGAGCGCACTATCAGGGCCTCAGCGAGTTGATCCCACGCTTGCACGCTGTTTCCGGATTCGTGTCTCATCCGCGACATCACGCGGCGGCGCTCCTCCCAGGTCTTGCAAGCGTCGACGGTCGCCCGAAGCTCCTCCAGCTGCGAGCAGATTTGGATAGGAAATATGTTACGGCACATTTCAAGAAAACGGAGACAAAGCAACTGAAAGTGACATAGTTGTAGTTAGAAAGAGATGTGAAGAAAAAAGTATTTATTCGTAACTTTATAAAGGAAAACAGGTCAAACCAACAATGTACAAACATAGTTCACTTTCTTAGGTAACAAATGAAGTCAATTCCACATTTTCCATTTTTGGTAGGTATACCACTATTGGGCACAGCCTTTTCAGCAATTTCAGTGCCACCAAAAGCTCTGAGACTTCCAAGAGACTAGGGACGAATCCAGTCGATCATTTTGGAGGGGACAATCATAATTTTTGTTAAGTAATAAACATTTGTTATTATATTGTATATTATTTTTGTAGTGTATATATGACACTATACAATAAATTTTTAAAATAATTAATCAATTCTTCCATAAATATTTAATCAATTTTGTTACATGAAAGGGATTAAATAAAAATTAAGCTTTTTGGGGGAGGGGGCCTGGTAACCATGCTCACCCCGTGGCTCCGTTCCAGCTCGAGACGCGAAAGAAACCGTGAATGCAGTTGAGGGAAACAATTCCTTACTTTTTTAAACATTGTTTATTATCAGTTATATTTTCTATTATTATACATTATTATATACATTATACTGTACATTATCATTTATTGTTTTGTATAATACATATTGTTTATATATTGCTTAGATTGAAATATTATGCACACGTGAAATTTAAAAATTGCTTTAATGATTCGGATTATTTTGATTTTTCTAATTTGAGAAAATTTTGCAAAAAATCTAGAGAAGACTAAATTATATTAATGCACTGAAAATTGTTTCAGAAATAATAATGTTAAATCATTTTGGAAATGTATTCCTCAAGGAAATTTGTACTATAGGGTTACCAAATTTGATGTATTTTAGTGACAACGGTTGATATTGGGCATGAAATAGTGAATATGTTTGCTGACGTTTTTTAACCAGTGTACGTCACTCTATCATCTCATGTTGCTTTGAATAATCACTATGATAAATCTGTTATATATGAAGGCTGTACGCATATTAGCCGATTGAATGCAAATTTGGCAATAGAAAAATTAGATATGAAAACCGGACCAGGACCTGGGCCAGATCATATTCCCTCTGGTTTTTGGTATTTTTCAAGGTTTTTCTAGTACCAGTTTCAAAAAATCCAATCAGGAAGGTGTTTTTCCATCGGAATAGAAATGTAGCAATGTTACTACGATAGACAAATCGGGGAAAATAGCGCGGCTTGTCAATTATGGACACATATGTCAAATGAGTGTGTTATATCAAACTTGCTTGAACGTGTGGTCACTGAGAAGCTAGCGATGCAATAAATCCAGTATTGATTAATGGACAGAATGGTTTTAGGTTGAAAAGAGCGACTATTGCAAATTTTGTGATTCTACAGCAATGTATTATTGAGAATTTAGACGAAAAGTCCCAGGTTGATGTGAATATAGATTTCGCTAAAGCGATTGTCAGTCATAAAATGCTATGACTGTTAGTCATAGCATTTTATTATTAAAACATGAACATATAAGTATTCTGGGAACATTCCTGAAATGAAGTGGTAGCTATTTCTGAGGCAGGATACAAAATAATTCATATCTTTTGTATCTAGGTATACATGTAATATCTGGAGTACCTCAGGTATCCAATTTGAGGCCCCTACTGTTTCTATTGTTCATTAATGATATTAAAGTATTGTTTCTACGCAGGTTTTCTTCGTTTAGCTGACTACGTGAAATTACATACGATTGTTAAGTCTTAATTGTTGTGCTATAGTGCAGCTGAACTTGGATTCTCGTGTTATGCGGTGCGAGAATAT